AATCCAAAAATGAAAGTTGCAACTCTTGGTGTCTAGTTTTCAGAAAAGTAAACCATATATCATTTGGAGTTGCGTACCAAACGTTATGGTAGATACACTATAGGCTGTTTGGAGGAGCTGGGCAGCTTGTTCTTTGCGATCGCGATTGGTTTTTCGCGATCGCGAAGGGCAAATACCTGGGCATAAGCTATATTTCGGGGGTTTGACTCATTTTTACCTCATTCCTTCCATGGGAGCCAACTTTGGGCGATTATGGAGTGTCATTTACATCATCAGACTTTAGGTAAGTGATTTATACACCTTGTGAGTTAAATACAAGGCTTACATATGGATTTAAACATGGAAATTAGTAGAAACTGTGAGATTTTTGGAAGAAAACCTAGAAATGGTATTTTTAGATTTTGACCACGAAATTGGACATGGAATTAGGAATAAGTTATATATTTGAGTTCATAATATTATGGGTAATGATTATCTTTGAAAATTTTCGGAATCCGGACACGTGGGCCCGAGAGTTGACTTTATTGACTTTTCGAGCGGAGTTAGAAATTGTTATAAATTAATTAATTATAGGTAATAGAGTATATATTTATGGATTTGCACATTTATTTGACTAGTTTTGGAGAGACGGGCATCGGTTTGAGGTGTTTGAGTAGCATTGGAGCCGGTTATGGAACTTCGGAGCGAGTTAAGTCTCCTGTCTAATCTTGTGAGGGGGAAATTACTCCCTAGGTGATATTTATTATTATGTGCAAATTATTGTGGGTGCTACGTACGCACGAGGTGACGATAGTCTGTACGTAGTTAAAGTGTGTTTATGTCCGGGTAGACTTAGGACTTTATCATGTAATAATTGAATTATTTGAACTCGTTCTTCTGGCTTAATTAATTAAAGTTATAACTGAATTTGATTTAGAAATAAATATATGTATACTAGGCCGAGCATTAACACTTTGAGTTGTGGGCGAGTTATTTGAGGAACACATGATACAATACTAATACAAGTATAATACGATATTGTATCAATTTAAGTTTAGAGTTGGTTTTAAGTTGTATCGTAATTGTATCAGAATTGTGTAAGAATTCTTTCAGGATTGAATCAAATTTATATTTGATGCATTAATACATGAAAGAATACTTGATAGTTGATACAACACTAATACAAGTACAATACAATCTTGTGTCAGAATTATATTAGTTTTTAGAGTAGTAACGTGTATAGGTAGAAAATTTTCAAATTTCCTATAATTACTGTGATGGATCTTCAAAATTGTATAGGATCGAAAATGTTATCATACAAAAAATAACCATTTCTTTGGTTCCATTTCTATGGCGAGTATGACTTCTTTTTTGGTTCAAGACTTTTTTTGTCCATTTGTATTTTTCTTGTGGCTTCTTATACAGAAGCGAGTATCTTGCATAGAGTTTTCGAGAAATTGGAAGAAAAAATTTGGTGAAATAATACTGGAAGAAGAAGTTGCTTTTAGATCTGCGTAGAAGAAAAGGGAGGGAGGGGAGTAGAGAAAAAAGGAAATGAGATAATTCAATCCCTTAATTAAAGGTGCTAATAATGGGGTTAGAGCATTTTAAGGGGAAATACATATAGTTTGTAAAAAAAAAACCTAGATACTTTGTGAAAACTACAAAATCTAAAGAAAATAGATAAATAAATTTTTATTATAGTATACATAGGAAAAACTCCCTAATTGAAATGGCATTTCTTTGGCGCTTTTTCCCCTTTGAATTTATTCCACTAAGTTAAGATTAGGTCATGGCGGTGACATCACCATGGTTGGTAATTGGCGTCAATTAAAAATAAAACCTAAATAGTCATTCATTAAACCATTTAAATTAAAAATAGCCGATAAATATATAATTCAGATATAATCAGAGGTGGATCCAGATTTAAATTTTATGGGTTCAACTTTTAAATTTTTTAATATTGAACTCATTATATTTTTAAAGTTATGGGTTAATATCTACAATTTTTATAATTTTAATGATTTTTTACACATAAATTTTTACTCCGCATCAAAAGTTATGGGTTCAGTTGAACCCGGTGATACTACACTGCACCCGCCACTGTATATAATGTGTGTATAACCGTGTACGATCCGTATAATTTATGTATATTGGCAAAAAAACAACGAATCCGGCCGGTTATTTGTATAAAGATCTTGAAATGTCACTAGTATTTAAAATATCGCAAGTATTTGCAAATATTGATGACCAATAAACTACTAATTAAAATTGTTGCACTTCAATATTTAAAAATAGTGAATTATTTGTGACCTAAAAAGAAAAAAGAAAAAATGTTGCTTGTAAATGACGTTACAAAATATTTTCCCTTTTTATGCACAGACTTCATATTTTTCTTTCTTGGGTATTTACCAAGACACCTACTCTACGTACTAATTAAGATTACATAAGAAAATTCGTCTTGGATAAAAAAAGATAGGCAAAGGCTACTATAGCTTGTTGAAATAGATATTTAGATTTTAACAACATAACTAAGAACAACTGCGACATGTGTAACACAGTGATATTTTAGATTTTAATAAAGTTGTATGTGACGAGTCAAATCAAAACGAAATCGAATATGACTGCCTTCATATTTAATTATCCCAAATGATATTTATTTACCTCCTGCATGGATGGAGAGACTAATTCGGTAATTCCCACGGTCTATTTCTTGCTTTAATAATCTCGCAACACATATCTCAAAGGAATCAAAGAAAGTTGGAATTAAGGGTGAGGACATTGTTGAACTAACACTTTTATATAAAGGGACTCTATCCATTAGCCTATGCAACAAACACAACCAACATTTCTTCTTTCTATGGCCAAATTGTTTACCCGAAAAACGGATAGATTTGAATTTATACGTAATTCTAAGGATACGTGGTATAACTTGATACAAATTAAAAAAATAAGTAGAAATATATCGAATATTGATTATAAAAAAGGAATAGAAATATATCGAATATTGATTGTAAAAAAGGAATGAAATACAAACCCAAATTGAGTAGAGAATGATTTATAAACGAGCAAGATGAATAAATGTCCAAAACCCAAAAAAGGATAAGTTTTACTATATGTATGTAAATCTCAATAATCTTTGAAATGTGAGAGTGTCTTGATGTTTGAATGTTGAATGTCCCTTACAGAAATAATAGCCACTCTTCATATAGTGGAGGAATCCTATTTTAGATATAATTAAAAATACATAGTGGGGATCCCATGATAGATTAGTTAACTAGTTTTTCCTTAATTTTCGCGATTATGACGTATGTGACAAATATCCCGTCGATTCAGTTACCAAGGCATTAAATGTGCATCAGACGATGGTCGGCCACTGCTGATTTTGAACTGTCATTGCCAAATCTATAAATAGCCCTCCCCCCTTCATTATTTTAAATCTTTACCCTCAACTCTTCTTATTCCAACCTTCACAGTTCTTCGCCTTCTCCAAAGTTCTCTATATTCAGCTTTAAGAATTTCTTTGCTCGTTCTTCGTCAAACACCAAAATATTTTAATTTCCCATCTTCTTTGTTCTTCAAAAATTTAGATGGCCAAGATATCTAAAATCGTTCCTCAGAAAGAGGCTGCTTCCTAATCTCGGCCGGCCGGTGAGAAACCGGTGGTGGAGCCACGCCTCGAAGAACTCGTTCCCGGGGGATGTGTTATCGATTCCGACTTTAAGGTCGAGAAACCTCCGTTGGTTGCTGGTCGATGTGAGCTGGTATCGAGATATATATGCTCGATACCTCAGAGCCTTATTGATTTGGTGAGGAAAGATTGTGGTTGGGAAAAGAAAGAGGTTGTTATACCAGCACCGGAGGAAGCGATCATTACCCATGTGGAAGGATACTTGAGTGTTTACACTTATCCTTTCATGTTGGGTCCCCTCGATCCGATCATCATCGACTTCTGCAAAAAGTACCAAGTAACCCTCGGCCAAATACATCCTTCTTTCTGGAGGATTGTAATACTGCTCCTTCTCTTTGTGAGCAAAATCGACGGGCTTCCCTTCACCCTCGACCACCTCGTAAGATTATATAGCCCTCGTCTTTACCGAGGTAGGCTGATAAAGCTTCAACGCTAGGGCACCAAGGCGTTCACCTCGAGCATAGATGAAGACAAAGATCGGGATTGGATGTGCCGGTTTGTTCGAGTGAAGATCTCAGACTTAATCCCGTCTGAGAGTATGTCATTTCCCCAAAAATGAAATATGAACCGTAAGTGTGATGCCGTTTTTAGCTTTTGTTGTTTTTACTTCTTCATCTTTACTTATCAGTTCTATTCTTGACACAGCCATTGCTTGGATGCCGGGAGCGGTTCCCCATCTCGAGAACTGGGTCAGGAGCCTGATTTCAACATCGACATATACCGAGAGTGCATGGAGCGATTTGTCAAAGGGCCGGTAGGAGGCTCGTACTCATGGTAAACCTTCTTTTTGGCTTACCGATTTGCTTATTGTTCAAGTATTTTTTTCAGGCATAAGTTTTACTTACTTTTCTTTCTTCGTAGGTCTCGGAAAAGATGCGGTTATGAGACCCCCATCACGTGATGAAGAATTTTTACCGCCTTCCTCAAAACCAGAAAAGGCGATTAAGAGAAAAATGGCCTCGGACTCCAAGGGCCAAAAACCCAAAAAGAGAGGGGGTCGTAAACCCAAGGTGAAGAAGAAGAAAATGATTCCGGGCTGTTGGTCCGTGCCCGGGCTAGTACCGATACTCAGAATACTTTAGTATCGGTGGGAGTTGATTCTGCTCCGACCAGGCTTGTTGAGGTCGAGGAGGGGACTTCGACCCAAGTTCCCGAGCCGAGGGAGACCGAGGATGTTTTACCTCGGGGTGAAGAAACCGTCGAAGAGGCGGTGAATGCCGGTGCACAAAATGAGCTTGGGGATCCCGAAGACGAAGGCGGTTCCCCAAAAGACCTACTCTGGGCAATAGATATCGAGGATTCCCCCTCTTTCCCTTCCTTTTCCTAATCAATGATACGTGACGCTCAAGCTGTGGAGACTTGTCATGGGGAAGGGGCCCACGGAGGGGAGGATCCTTTTCGTGGTTATTTTATCAGGGTAGAAGATGTTATCGGTCCGAGTGACTTGGAGACTCTGAAGAAGAGCTCGAGCGAGGTGGGAGCGTCTTACCTATTTAACGAAGCCCAACAGGGCCTGAATCGGGTAAGTTCATACTTTCTTTGCCGATTTTTATACTTGTGTTTTTCTTTCCTTGTATAATCCCTTCTTATTTTTGTAGGCTTATGTGCTTCATCACGAGGCATTTTTCCAATCCTGATGGCAGCTGAACCAGTACGAGACTGAAGTTCGAAGGCTTACTGAGGAGAGAGATGCCTTAATGCTTCTCAGTGAGCAGAGAGAAAGAGAAGTAAAAGGACTTCGGGCCGAGCTGGAAGTATCTCGGAAAGAACAAGCTGAGTTGTCCGAGCAGGTACAAAGAATCTTTAAATTTAATGATCTTGAGTTGGGACTGATGGATAATAATTCGGTCCCGTAGGTCAAGAAAAGGTTCGATGCGATTAGGCAGCTTCGTGTTAAAGTGGACGCAGTGAAATCGGAGGCTGAGGAGTGGAAAAAGAACATGGACCACCTCGCCTCACAAAAGGAGGCTGCCCGAACTCAACTGGCTTCGGCCGAGGCCCAACTTAAAAGAGAAAGCCTTAGTGCAAGGCAAGAAAATCGAGGAGTTCCAGTCTCATTTGAGCTCAGCAAAATCTGATCGAGAGAGATTGGCCACAGAACTTGCAGTGGCCAAAATAGAGGTCGAGAAAACGATGGCCAATGTTGATGCAATGATGGTCGTTTATCGATCTGATGCCGAAGCTGCTCAAGTTCGAGCAAAGGAGGTTGCTGAGGATGCTCAGGCTCGGGCAAACTAGGTTGTCGAGCATGCTAAATGCCAGTCTTGAAGGGAGGCTCTCGAAGAGACTCATGCTCGTGGCTTCTATCTAACAGCCGAGATTGAAAACGCTAAGGAGCTTGAAGCCAAAGCTACGGTGTTGGCCTTTCCCGACAATGATGATACTGGGAGCGCTAGCGGATTTGAAAGTGAAGGGGGCCTCGAGGGCAAAGATGCTGCTCCCGGAGAGGCCTAAAATATTTTTAATACTTTTTGTTCTTCTTATAAGACCGTTTTGGTCTTTTGTAAAGAAATTTGATCTGGCCGTCTTGCCCTTGTAAATGATTTTGACATGAATATAAAAACTTTCTTCGTTTCATATCTTCTGAATATTTCGCCTTTTGTTAACTTGTACAAAGGTCAAAAGTTCCTTAGCATTGAATAATTATTTGGAGGTCCAAGATTGAGATAGTAAAGACCGATAGTAAGTACTGCACTCGACCATTTCTTATAGGTAGTCATCGAGTGAATGTTCGAACTCAAACTGAGGTGGCCCTTAGACTTGATAGATAGATTTCAAATGAAATGATTTGCTCAAACTTGAAGCAGAGTAGCCTTTTTAAGCTTGATACATAGTGCCCGGTTTGGGGTAATAGGTCGAACTTGAATCAATGTGGCCCTTGGGCTTTGTGGTTGAGTGAGAATGATTTCTCGGACTCGAAGTAAGAGTAGCCTTCAGGCTTAATGGTCGAGTGAGTGTTTTCTCAAACTCGAAATGAGAGTAGCCCTTAGGCTTAGTGATCAAGTGAGTGCTTGCTCGAACTCGAAGAAAGGGTAGCCTTTAGGCTTATTGGTCGAGTGAGTGTTTGCTCGAACTCGAATTAAGAATATCCCTTAGGCATAATAGTCGAGTGAGTGTTTCCTCGAACTCGAAGAAAGAGTAGCCCTTAGGCTTAATGGTCGAGTGAGTGTTTGCTCGAACTCGAAGTAAGAGTAGCCCTTTAGGCTTAATGGTCGAGTGAGTGTTTGCTCGAACTCAAAGAAAGAGTAGCCCTTAGGCTTAATAGTCGAGCGAGTGTTTGCTCGAACTCGAAGTAAGAGTAGTCCTTAGGCTTAATGGTCGAGTGAGTCTTTCCTAAACCTGAGTTAATGTAGCCATTAGGCTTTATGGTCAAGTGAGTGTTTGCTCGAACTCGAGTTAATGTAGCCCCTAGGCTTAATGGTCGAGTGAGTGCTTACTCGAACTCGAACTAGTGTAGCCCTTAGTCTTTATGGTCGAGTGAGTGTTTGCTCAAACTCATAGAAAGAGTAGCCCTTAGTCTTAATGGTCGAGTTAGTGTTCGCTCGAACTCGAACTAATATAGCCCTTAGGCTTTATGGTCGAGTGAGTGTTTGCTCGAACTCGAAGAAAGAGTAGCCCTTAGGCATAATGGTCGAGTGGGTGTTTGCTCGAACTCGAAGAAAGAGTAGCCCTTAAGCTATATGGAGCTCGATCTCGTTGATTTTTCGGTTTGCAGTCCCCAATTTATGGGGTAATTATTCAAACATCGATCATGGTCGGCCCTTAAGCCTGTTTACATAATAGATTGGGAACATGAAGTAGAAGAATCTTTTTGATATATGAGATATCGGTAAATAAGAAATTTCTCTTTATAAGTCATTATACATGTGTTCATGTTTTGTGCCAGGGCTTGAGCAAACTACGCAGGCATGGTTCGTTTGACCATTTGGCCCTTACAAATATTTCCTATCGAGTCCTTGTTGCCATAACGTAACGTTCTTGCATCGAACTTGATATATTCGAGGGCAATGCCCCCCAGTATTCAAGGTTGATTGTAAAGAGGCCTCGGATACTGTTGAATTGTTCTAAGTTAGCACGATCAATGGTTGCCTCATTAAAAACCTTGTCGAAAAACCCATTTGGGACAAAATCGGTCTAAGGGAAAAAGAGTGCAACACATGCTTTCAGACCTAAAAGCTTCGAGTTGAATAATCCATCCCTATTTCTGGTCGAACACCTGCAAGGGTTAATTTTGAAATACAAATGAACATGGGAGGGTCGTACCTTAGCAGTAGTATCATTTTAGATGCGACACGTTCCAATTGCTTGGTAGTTGTTTGCCGTTTATCACGCCGAGTTTGTACGATCCTTTTCCGATGATTTTGAAAACCTGATATGGTCCTTCCCAGTTCAGACCTAGTTTCCCTTCATTCGGATTTCGGGTGTTGAGGGTGACTTTCCTTAGTACCAAGTCCCCGATTTTAAAATGTCGAAGATTGGTTCTTCGATTGTAGTATCTTTCGATCCACAATTTTTGGGCGGCCAATCGGATGAGAGAGGCCTCTCGTCTTTCGTCCAATAATTCTAGGCTCGTGTTCGTGGTCTTGTTATTCGACTCCTTTGTTGCATATCAAAACCTGATGCTAGGTTCTCCGACCTCAACCGGGATCAGAGCTTCGGCGCCATAGACCAACGAGAATGGCGTTGCTCTTACTGGATTTCGATGTTGTGCGATATGCCTATAGGACCTCGGGTAGTATTTCTCTCCATTTTCCTTTGGCGTCGGTCAATCTCTTGTTAAAATTTTGGATGATGGTTTTGTTGGTCGATTCGGCTTGTCCGTTTTCGCTGGGATGGTACGGTATTTATAGGATCCTTTTGATCTTGTGATCCTCGAGAAATTTAGTTACTTTGCTACCGATGAATTGCTTTACATTATCACATACAATCTCGGATGGCATCCCGAATCGACATATGATGTGGTCCCAAATGAAGTCTATCACTTATTTTTCTCCGACTTTCTCAAAAGTCTGTGCTTCAACCCATTTAGAGAAATAATCAGTCATAAACAAAATAAACTGAGCTTTACCTGGGGCCGATGGGAGGGGGCCGACGATGTCCATTCCCCATTTCATGAAAGGCCATGGAGATAGGACCGAGTGGAGTAGCTCCCCAGGTTGATGAATCATGGGCACATGTATTTGGCATTTGTCGCATTTTCGAACGAACTCCATAGCATCCTTGCCCATATCTTTCCAATAATACCCTGCTCTGTTTGCTTTGTGGACCAGCGAATCGGCACCAAAATTGTTTCCACAAGTGCCTCGTGAATTTCTCGTAGGATGTAATCGGTATCTCCTGGACCCAAACATATTACCAATGGTCCATCGAACGTCCTTCTAAACAGTGTTCCGTCTTTGGATAGGGTAAACCGTGCTGCCTTTATACGCAAAGCTCTCGATTCCTTTGGATCTGAAGGAAGCTTCCCGTTCTTGAAGTACTCTATATATTTGTTTCTCCAGTCCCAGGTTAAACTTGTGGAGTTTATCTCGGCGTGACCTTCTTCGATCACCAATCTTATGAGTTGTACGATAGTCCCCGAGTTGAGTTCGTCATCTTTGACCGATGAACCTAAGTTTGCAAGAGCGTCGGCATCGCTGTTCTGTTCTCGGGGTACATGTTGCAAAGTCCATTCTTTAAATTGATGTAGAGTCACCTGTAATTTATCCAAGTACCTTTGCATTCAATTTTCTCGGACTTCGAAGTCCAGTTAACTTGGTTTACCACGAGGAGGGAATCACACTTAGCCTCTACGACCTCCGCTCCCAAGCTTCTAGCTAGTTCGAGACCTGCAATTATGGCCTCATACTCGGCCTCATTGTTAGTCAATTTTGTAGTTCTGATAGACTGTCTAACTACATTACCTGTGGGTGATTTTAGTACAATGCCTAATCCGGACCCCTTCACGTTCGAGGCACCGTCCGTGAAAAGGGTCCAGACTCTCGAAGAGGTACCCAATTTTATCAGTAGCTCTTTTTCAATCTCGGGTACGAGGGCTGGCAAAAAGTCAGCCACGAAGTCCGCCAAGATTTGATAGCGGTTCGGGGTCGATACTCGATATTGTATCCACCGATTTCTAGGCCCATTTGGCCAATTGACCCGAAAGATTGGGTTTGTACAAAATGTTTCGAAGAGGATAAGTGGTTACAACATGTATTGGATGACATTGGAAATATGGTTTTAATTTTCTAGAGGCGCTTATTAGAGCAAGCGCTAATTTTTCTAAGTGTGTATATCTAGTTTCGGCCTCGCCTAAGGTCCAACTGACATAATAAATAAGGAATTGCGTACCTCGTTCTTCTCAATCCAGGACTCCCACTTACTGCTATCTCCGAGACAGCCAAGTACAAGTAAAGTTGTTCGTCCACTTTCGGGGTATGAAGAAGAGGCGGGCTCGATAAATACCGCTTTAGTTCTTCCAAAGCCCGCTGGCATTCCGGAGTCCATGCAAAGTTGCTTTTCTTCTTAAGCAGTGAGAAAAATCGGTGGCTCCTATCTGAGGATCTCGAAATGAATCGTCCCAGGGCAGCTATCCTCCCTGTTAACCTTTGCACGACCTTCACATTATCTACTATCGTGATGTCCTCGATAGCTTTGATTTTATCGGGGTTGATTTCGATTCCTCGGTTGGACACCATGAAACCAAGAAACTTGACCGAGCCAACCCCGAATGCATATTTTTCAGGGTTGAGCTTCATATTATACTTCTTTAGTACGTTGAAAGTTTCCTGCAAATGCTTTAAATGGTCCTTTGCTCAAAGGGACTTAACTAACATGTCATCAATATAAAATTTTATTGATTTTCCTATTTGTTTTTCGAACATTCAATTTACTAGGCGTTGATAAGTTGCACCAGCATTTTTTAGACCGAATGGCATTACGTTATAACAGTAGGTACCGTACTTAGTGATAAACGAGGTCTTTTCCTGATCCTCCGGGTTCATCTGTATCTGGTTGTACCCAGAGTAGGCATCGAGAAAACTGAGAGTCTCGTGGTCTGCCGTGGCATCGATCATACGATCGATGCTAGGCAAAGAAA